TCACACACAGGTGGGACTGTGGCTGGCAGAGCAGATTCAAGGGTGGAAGTTGGAAAAAATGCTGAGGTGCAAAACACAAATGGGCTGGGTCCCTGCAGTGCAGTGAGTTGGCTCCTCATGGGTGCTCAAGCTGTCAGGACGGAAGGCGCTCCGGTGCTGTAGACCTGTGCCCCACAGAGAAGGCACGGAGCCCATCCCGCCCTGGTATGAGTGGAAGTTACCCTGCTTTGCTTGTCTGTGGCCCATCTACAGAGGAGGTAGTGGGGACTTCCTCTTCACCCCCATGGCGCTCCCCCAGATCTTCCTCCCTGGATTTGAGATGTCTTGGATGTTTCTCTGCGGGAGCCAGGGGGTCCCAACCCTCTCCCCATCTACCTTCTACAGGATCCCACGGATATTTTGTGTATACAAAAATGATAAGACACCTGCGTGACTGTTTCTGTTTGTTTCCCATGTAGGTTTTATGTCAGGCACACAGAGAAACCCCCAGATGTCTCAGTACGGACCTCAGCAGGCAGGACCATCCATGTCACCCCACCCTTCTCCTGGGGGCCAGATGCATCCTGGAATCAGTAACTTTCAGCAGAGTAACTCAAGTGGCACTTACGGTCCACAGATGAGCCAGTATGGACCCCAAGGTAATGAAGGCAAAGCATGGTGGTGGGAGGAAGGGGGTTTTCTTAATGTGCTCCTCAGGACTTTAATGGTATAAACAGGCATCACAATTCTGTTGTTCACTATGGCAGATGGTGAAGTTAATCGAAGCTGTGATGGTAGAAAGTACAGCCACCGTCCTAGCATGTAGGGCTTGGCCTCTGGGTAAATGCTCACATAGGAACGGTGCAGACCCGGTCCTGGGGTGTAGCTCCAAGTGCTGGTGAAGAAAGGCACAGCCACATCCTCAGAATGTCTCCTGTTTAAATTGGCCATTCGTGTAGCCTGCCAGTTCTTAACAGCACACACGCCCTGGTAGCCTCTCCAGTCCAGGGCCTAGTCTTTCCTCAGGTGCTACAGAAGACACACAGTAGCTCCCACTTTCCTGACCCTTGCATCCTCACAGAACACAGGCTGGCACGGATGCAGGTCTGGGGCTGGAAGGCGATGAGGGGATAGGAACATGTGCAGAACCGTACCCATATCAGTTTCCATGCCACCTTCCTGAAGCGTCAGGTCTGTGTAGAGCCCTGTTGCTGTGTCTTTAAAACTGACAGGTGAATTTTGGAGTCACTTTTGGTACTAAGACATTTAAAGTATCGTGCCTGAATTATGTTTAGTGTACTGAAATTAGACATTAGTGGATCATTTGGATAGACTGAGATAATCTGGTGTGGTTGCTCGAAAAATCCTCATATCTGAGAATTCAGGAATATTCCAAGTTAAGACAAGTGCCCCAAAGACAGGCAGTTGCTTCTGCCCACGGGAAGCTGCATCTCATTGGGATCTGTGTCTGTGGAATAAACAAACGGAGGCTCCCAGAGCCTGGCCAGCCCATGAGGCCCTCTGAGGATCAGCAAGTATCCTGAAGGCCCTGGAAACCGTGGCTTGTCCAGGAGCAAGTACTTCTCATCTGCAAACAGTGACTCACCAGTGTCTTACCTTGAAGCCCCGTCTATAAAAGATGTTAGGTATTCTTAGAGTTATCATCGATGGGACAGTTTCTTTACCTCATGTTGCTTTATTGTGCCTATCTTTCAGCTTCTTCTGTTGCTGGGAGAGCATGAGAATACCCAATAACCCTTTCCAAATGACCCCTTCCTGCTTCGTTTATGTGCATGTGGGCAGGGTGGGCAGAACCTTGGGGTTTGCTATGACTGACTTCATAGCATGTCGTGAAGTCTTCTATGCCGCTAATACAATGAGGAGCCCGGTTCGCAGCTGAGCTGAGATGGACCCCAAGCCAAATTCCCTGTGGGAGCCTACCTGCCTACCCCCTTACCAGGTCTGCATGGGCTCTTCACAAGCAAAACTGGGCTCCTTAGCTATCATAGAAAGAAGCTTGGGCAAGTGTTTATAAATTCTGTAGTTACAAAAGGTGTGGACCTTTCCTGAGATGTATTTGGACAAGGCTGGAACCATGTTCTCAGAACTGGGACTACTGGGGGTCTCAGCCTTGACCTCAAACCATGTGGGTTTCATGCAGACCCATGTGGGCTTCATGCAGGCTTCACACATGAGCTCTGTGCTTGTGATTTCTTGGATCCTCTGAGGAGTGCCTATGCGTAAGATGTAAGCTCTGCTATAGCAGTTGAGATCAGGGAAGGCCATTGCTGAGAAATGGATTTCTTTTTTAGACAATCCCTTCATCTCTCCACGTCACTGCATTGAACTATCCTTTGTTTAAGAACTGAGCCAGGCAAATCCGCCCTCACACAAACTGCTCTGTGTCACAAACCCTTCCTGTGACTTCCTTCTCCCCCAGAAGAAACATGTTTATATCGCCTTGGAGGGAAGTTGCTTCCTGGTCTGGCATTCTACCTATTTGCTTCAGTCCGAGGGTCTTTTCCACAGCACAGCCCTGGGTCCGTGCACAGCAGTGGTGTATCGTCAGGAAGGCATTTCTGTGGGTTTCTCGGTACAAGATGACAGTCAGAACAATCTGAAGCGAGGGTGGTGTCCACTCTGGGTCCTCTGTCAGCCTCTCCATCTCAGGCCTCTGACCAAGCCTCCTTCCTGTGTGGCATCAACACCATGATCCACCCCGAGCCACGGCCCCTCCTCAGGCCCCACACTGGCACTAGTGATCTTAAACCAATGTCCAGTCTCTGCCCATGTTCAACCCCAGGCCCCTGTCTTGTCCTAGCAAGCACTAAGGGATAGGACCTGGCGTGCTCAGGTCAGGGACTGCCTGCCTATGCTTCCTCCTTGGCATTCCCGTGAGGCAGACCTCTAAAGGAGGGTTCCCCTTCTTCATCTTAAGCATTTAAATTACTGGTAAAGCAGCTCTAGTAGGTCACAGTCAGAAAGACACCACTGTGTGGGACAGGTCTCTAGTCTCAACCCTCAGGCTGTTAATATGACAACTTTATCCTGGGGTTCATTTGTTTTAAGAGGAAGACACTTTACAGCTTCTTTGGCTAACCCTTTTTATCATCAGAGGCAGCAGCTTCAAAACTGTTATTAGCCAAAGAAGCCAGGGCTCACGCCTGTAATCCCAGCATTTGGGAGGCAGAGGCAGGAAGATCACTGTAAATGGGAGGCCAGCCTAGGCTACTTAGTAAGATACTGTCTGGAAAAAACGAGAACAAAACACCAACCAATGCTTATTGTGTGCCGCTGAGGGCGGGGCCATATCCTGAGCAGTGTCCACATTTGAGCCAGGAGAGCAGACAGCTTTTCTCCGCATCTCTAAGGTGCACACTCCATCTTCATGCAGACTGCTGGTGTGTTCTGAGTGAGCCAGTCAGCACTTTGCAGATAGAAAAGCAGACTTTGGCAGGCTGGCCTGTGTGCCCTTCATCCCCACAGGTAGGACCAGGCTGAGTGATGGCAGAGGCCACTCCATGGCTACCAGCTACCCCTCCCAGGCCTCAGTTGGGCTCCTTCTTCATTGTGCGCTCATTCCATGAGTGTGGGAGAGATAAAGACTGACTTCTTCTCTTCAAGAACAAAGACCATCTTGGAACTTTAGGAATGGGGAAGTCCCAGAAACACTAAGGGCCCTGACAAGTGTGCTAATTCACAGCTGTAATCCAAGCACGGAGAAGCTGAGGCAGGAGGATTGCTGCAAGTTTAAGCTCAACTCAGGGTACAGAGTGACTCTCTGACTCAAAAAAGAAGTTAATTAAAATTTAAAAACTTATAATGAAGAAGGAATATGAAGGAGATTAGAGAAATAATTCCTATGATTTACAGAAGGAAAGGGTGTTAGACATACAGCATGATGCCTCAAAATTGAATTATTAAGTATTCAAATAAGATGAAACCAAACTAAATGTGTAAAAGTGTTTAATTACAGCATAGTCTATGAACTAGCACTTCCCTACCTTCAAGCAAGCACATGTAATAACCACCCTTGCTAAGTGTTTACGAGGAGAGAGGGCCTCAGGGACTCACTTCTACAAATAGAAGGGAATTATGGAATTAGCGTTAATTATTAATGATGAATTTGGGGGAAAGAGGGCAGAAATCAGTCTGATCTCCATGGCCGCCTGCTTCTTCCCGAGAAAAGCATCTCACACTGCCCATCCTCGGACACTGCTCAGCTTGGGTCCCTAACCCAAAAGCAAGGGTCTGGCCTCAGTTTGCTGGATGTGCAGCATCGCCCTCAGCAGGTAACTGACTCGGAGTCTGGGCTCCCACCAGTTCACTTCTGGAGAGGCGTCTGGAGTCTGCACGGGCTGCAGCTGCCTCCGCTTTCTCTAGTGTGTATCTGAGGATGCGGCCTGGGGAGCTTCTATCACCAATTACTTTGGAAAAGGTATCTTCAGAAAGGTTTCAGGGGTTTTCTTTAAAGCGATGAGACACCATCTGAGTCCTGGACTTTCCTTCTTCTCTCAAATTCAGCCAAATCAAGTTGTGAATGGTGTTCAGGTGGAGTGAGCGCTGCTCCAGGACTGTGAATTGCATGGTAATTTAGCAACTATTTCAGGTCCAGGGATGCAAGGTATAAATGTCAGAAGCTGTCTGCCTGCTAACTGTTGAGAGTTCCACGTGGATGCCCAGTGTCACCATGACCCAGGGCTCCCGTCCTTAAAGTTCCATCGAGTATGAAGACTCAGTGAGTTCTGCCTGCCCCCCCCCCACCCTACCATCTCTGCTGGAGACTGGCGCAGCCTGGTTAGTGTTCCAGAGGCCGTCTCTGTACAGGGCTTTCCTTCACGCCCCTCCCTTGTAGGCAGAGGCTGCTTACTTATTTTCCGGCTACCCAGACCCGAAATAATCACTCAGAAACTATATTAATTGCAGCACTGCCTGGCCAATGACTCTAGCATATTCCTAGCTACATCTTGCATCTTAAATTTACCCATTCCTTTTATTTTGTATTTTACCACAAGACTCATGGTTTACCTGTAAGGTTCTAGGGCATCTGTCTCCTTCAGCAGCTACATGGTGTCTCCTCAACTCTGCCTACACTCTCTCTTTCTCTCTCTCTCTCTCTCTCTCTCTCTCTCTCTCTCTCTCTCTAATATATATATATATATACACACACACTCATTCCAGCCTGGCTATATTCTGTTAAGCCGTTGGCCAAAAGCAGCTTCTCTATTAACCACTGGTAATAAAACATATTCATAGCATAGAGGGAATCCCACAACACTCCCTTCATTTCCCCTTGAAACAGCTGACAATGTGCTTGTCATGCTAACCTTTGACACTGGACAAAAGGATTCATTCCACATTCTAACCATTTGGTTCTGATTAAAGGAATATTCTAATCCTCAATCTTACTAGGGAGAAAACCAAATTAGATCATTGTATTGCCAGAGTGGTTAGTATAACCAAGTCATATCTGGATGCTCAAATGTAGCCTTCATATAACAGAGTTTAAGCATGGATGTCTCCTAGTCTGATGATTACCATGATTTGGTCAAACCCTATAAATTGGAAATTTACAGTGAAAATTAATTTAAAATGAAAACTTCATAAAGCCGCTCTACATTTGACTCCTGTGAAGCTCCTGGTTCCCTTCTGTAATGAA